TCATCATCATCGTCTTCATTGACTCTGACTGCGTCGACCATTTTCTTATCTTCATATTCATCCTCATTTACATGCCCATTATTTAAACCATGGTTTGTAAATACTTCCTCAGGCTCATCATCTGATTCTGATATTTCAGAATCCTTTATGATAAAAGAGAAGTTAATAAATATATTACTGAAAATATCTTAGTTATTAATGCTTAGATTTTACCTCTCCCTCATTATCATCGTCATCTTCGCTGTCATCATCAACATTATCGTCACTACTCTCAACATAAGACAATATGGGTTTATTAGAATTATTTTCAACTATCTCTTGTCGCATTGATACTTGCTTCATAACCAAATCAAGGCGTCCATAAAAATTTAATAATTTCTGGAATGACACGGAACGAGCATCTAATGTTTGATAAAATTTTGAAAGTTTGCGAGTCAAATCAGGAATCTAAAGTGATACAAGAAAAATTAAATTAATAAATCGAGCTTTCATATAAATTTTATATACAATATATATATGAATAATAGATGTTACCGTCATTAAATAAGCCATATGAAATAACAAAACTGCCTTAATCCATTGCAGAATATGCATTCCTGTATTAGGTTTTTCTTGAAACCTAGCAATCGCCTTCTCTAAAAGTGGTACAATATATTTTGTCGGTAATTTTTTCACTGTATTATTGATTATGTCAAGATCCTCTTGTCTTAATACAGTTAAAAGAAGGCGCTTATCGTTTGAATGTAAAGCTTGAACCAGTATTTGTTGCATAGAGTGACCTGTAAGTTTTTTGAATTTGAGTGGTTCTACTTCCGGTTTATGGTTTGAAGGGTTCTCAACATCAACTATATTCAAGTCTTTTATGTTTAATATATTATCCTGTTAATTGACAAGAAATGAAGAATATAAGTACTAATTAACAATTGCTCAAAAGTTTTTTGAGAATCGAAACATTACTTTGTTTACATCATCTGAATTTTCCGATTCATTATCGGAAATCATTTCATAGTTCAAAGTTCCTGACACTTTGACTTTGGAATCATCATATGATTTTTGTGTTTCTTGCTTTTTTTTTTTTGAAATGATAAATAATTAATTATTTTTTTTTTTTAAAAAAAAGGGGGGATATGATTACAATTCATACATACAAAGTTTTTGGCAGCCAAATTTGATTCGTTCATTAAAAATCCTGTCGGCTGATGACGTGTTAATGTTATATCTTGCAACATTGTGTCATCATGGGTATTTATGAATTGCTATATATTAATCATCATACCAATATTACTTAAAAATTAAATAAATAAGGGACATTTTCATAACCATAATTGAACATACCACTTTTTCAAAAATAGGTTTCACAGTACTCCCTCGAGCAACCATTACATAACCCGATCCTTTGCTTTCTTCATCAACAAAACACGCGGAAAGGATAGGTATTATACCCGAATCATCATCATTAAGAAACCTTATTTTGCTATCAGCGGTTCGAGTTGAAATCCGTTTCTTCTTTTTATTCAGAGACGTCATGTCATTTGTCGTTGTTGTGTGTTTAAATAGATGTAATATACCTGTCTCAGAGACTGCTAAAACATTGTTAACTTTAGAAATTGAAAGGTCCGTGATGTTTTCATCTAGAATCAAAGCTATATTGAAGATAATAAGAATTATATTAGATTGTTATTAACGAGAAATAAAACCATTTAAAGTTAATTTACCAGCCGGATTGCCATCATAACCATCTCCATCCAGAACCTTCCAAATATTTATATATCGATCATGCTCGGCAGAAGATATACATATTTCATCCTTCGCAGAAAACAAAATATTACCGATTCTTGTCGCGTGACCGGTAAATGTTTTGAGAACTTGCTTGGATCGCAGATCCCACAATTTAATAGTATGCCCCGCGGTTAATATTTTAGTCTCGTCATGTGATAGAGCAAGTTTAAACTTTGTCATTTGTGAATCAACGTTCCAATTACTAATTTTCAAAAAAAAATTTATTACATTGAATAAATCCGGCATCAACAATGTCATTCGAATAAATACCTAATGACTTTCTCATTATCGATATCCCATTCCACAATCTTCATATCTTCACCACAAGAATATCCCCTTTTACCATCCTTAGTAAAAACAAAGTCATTAACTGGTGATGTATGTGATCCACTTAAGGTTTTTATGGCTGATCCATGTATAGTTGAATAAATTACGATTGTTCCATTTTGTGAACCTAGCGCAACAACCTTAATGCTTTGTTTACTTTTGGGTAAAGGCTTCTTTTTCTTATTCGGTGAAGGTGTATCCTAATATAAGATAATAATGTAAAGGAAATTAATTACTCGAACTCAAAAAAAAAAAAAACGCAAATTTTTTAAATTCAACCGCATCTCCGCAATGCACATGCCTCATACGACTTACAACTTTTCCATTCAAATCTCTTTCATAAAGTTTTCCCCAAGTCAAACAATTAAATTTTTCTTCTACTTCTGAAAAGAAGTCATTATTGACTTTTCCAGTATGCGTATCAAATATTCGCATACGATGACGATCTACACCTGGAGTGACTAGTGCGAAAAAGTCTGCATTCGAATCAAATCGACCAAGTAATGATTCAATGAGAATTGCACTACGACTTGACTGTTCCACAACCGTATGATTAGACTGTGGGGTGTTGAAATTGGTAGGTTTCCTCTTATTTCTCTTGACCATTTTTTTTTTTTTATTTTATTTAAAAAAAATAAAATAAAATAAAATAAAAAAAAAATTTTTTTTTATCACAAAAATTTACTGATTTGATCTACGAATCATTGTTGATTATGTAAGACATTCTTATTGTCTAGAATATTTCCTAAAATTGTATTAGTCTAGAACAAATAAGTTTCGATACTATACAATATTTAATTAGGCATTATTTCGACTTAGTTATTAATCATTAATTTCTTTTTGATTTAATAAAATGCTACTCTATAAAGATTGATATGATGCTTAAACTTATTAAAAAGAAGTATAGATCAGTACTATTTTAATCTAACATAAGTTTACTTAATTAGCAAAAGTAATGAGAAACAATCTTTTTAACCTTGGAAATGCAATTTTATAATAAACCCGAGATTAATATTATAAATAAGCGTTCGTATAATCTTGTTGAAATATAATTAGTAATGTCGATGTCAAGAAAAAAAGGTCGTGAGCAAAGAAGTCGTGAGAGAAAAAGTTAGTGAAAAGAGACCTGATATATTTTCTAGTAGTTAGGCAAGCTCCTTTTGCTTTCTTTGGATGCTGCATCATATAAAAAAATCTCTTGAGGGTAATTCCGTTCTTTCCACATGGTTGTTCTGGCACACAAAATGCCCAAGGGTGTTTCCGTTCAATCCTCACAAAGAAATATATAACCAATGAAGTTTCTTCAAATAAGGTCTACTGATTCTTGAAGAGAAATCGGTTATATACCAATAGAAAGACTAATGAAAATGAAATGAAGCTGATAAATTTGAGAGGAGTCCGAGAAGCGAGATACAAAAAAGAAAGAAGCTGATAAATCAAAAAGCTCAATAGGTAGCTAAAGAATGCAGTCAAATCCATATTATGTAATAGGCGCACTAGAATTCATTTGATCAGAGGAAAAGTTAGGTATCAATGTCATCATGTTATTAAATTTTCTTTTCCATCTTCCCATGATAGTTTCTATTGAATAGTCTATTTTTGAGGAACAGTTATCGCGTCTTTCCCAAGATAAAAAGTTTACCAATTTCTTACAATTTATGAAAGTTTTGATGAGATAAAAGATGCTTTATACCCACACAACAAACATAATATCATTTAAACTTTATAAAGACGTTCTTCACAATATCCTTGAAGAATTAGAAAATGACATCAAATTTAATTCTTACATAAAACCAAGAAATCGCTTCATTCGTGTTTGCTTGTAAACATTGCATATCTCGTTATATATAACAACACATTTTGTATTATTCAGAATATCGATGATTGGACAAATGAAATCGTAAAATAGAGTGTATTAGTGTAGGAAAACGAAATCTTGTGGCCTGCAGGCATTACATAGAAACAACATTTCACTTCCTTGTAAAACAAATCTATATATCATAGCCGAATAAAAAAAAGAATTCTCTTTATCTATAAAGCCGCATATAACAGTAATTCCATCTTGTCACGGGGTTTTTTAATCTATGCTACAGAACTTTTGAATTTTTTTCCATCTTTCTACCTATATAAAATTTTATTATCAAAAATGCAATCCATTGATCCATTGAGAGAAATGAATTCTAAGCTCATTGCCACAATTGCTGAGCTTAAAAAAAGAGAATACCGAGATTCCTAACTTAGAAAGAAGTTTGCTGAGGCTGTGAATACAAAGTTGAGACAGGCCGTGGAAGAAAATTCAGAGCTTAAGGCCAAAATCGAGGAGTTGGAAAAAGTAAGGGCGACTCTTAATCGAGAATGCTGAACTTAGGACTAGATTTATGAAGTTGGAGCAGGATTACTGATTGTAGAGCACTGGCGGCATTATATACCTAAATCTGTTATAGATCAGTACGTTAATATCACCTCTTCAAATCGTTAGAAGATAAGGAAATGAATGAAACAAGAAAAAGGTTAGTAATGAGATTAGAGAGATGAGGCGGGAAAAGAAGCAGAGAGATCAAGAGACACTAGAAACTTCACTGGACTCATAATACTAAAGCAACCCATCCAAGTTAGCATTCATTAACTATACCATAATTATATCTGAAGATTAATCAATTTAATAAGCAATCATATATTAATTACTGAAATATACTTAAATGCATAATATGAAATAAGATTTTATTATTTGTTTTTAAACTAACGGATGAATAAGGTTTTATTGTGCGAATTGTATTTTGATTTACGATCACGTGTCTACAATTTGATCTACTAGTCTAGAAGATTTCCTAAATTGCAAATGAATAAGATAAAAAAGTCGTCGTTCGTCTCTTAGATCTATAAAAGTTACAGCCATGTCAGGTCAAAATCAATCACAAGTTCCATACCCTTACGACCCTAATAACTATGTTTCCAATACAACTGCGTCAACAGATCCGTCTCAAACTTACTATGGATATGATTACAATGCGTATTCTTCCAATGCAGTTCATTATACAAGCAATTCGACTTCAAGTGGCTATGAAGGGTACGGCGACTATTCTACTTATAATGCTAGTGCTTACTATTATCCTTCAACGGGAGGAACTACGGCAACATCAACTTCAACGACAGCTACTGTAGTTGAAGCTCCTCCATCTATGATTAACACTTCAGTTTCTTTGTCTTCTAACGCTTCAATTAACAAATCTGGGCACAATCAGCATCAACAGGATAGAGGGTTCAGTTCAAGCTTCCATGGTTCGACAAAAGATGAAATAATGTCTGGAACTAATGAACAATCGGGAATGAGTAGTAGTAATAAACAACAATCCTCGAAAAAAAAACAAAAAACGATTATAAGAGCTGCAGGTGGTGAAGTTTGGGAGGATCCAACTTTATTAGAATGGGATTTGAGTAAGTTCTTTCTCTTATTTTTTTAAAAAAAAAAATTGAAGGAAAAAGATTACAATACTTTTCCTTTACACAATTACGTTCTTTTTTTTATTTTATTTTTTTTCTTTAAACAACAAATTCAATAAAAAAAACAGATGATTTTCGTTTATTCTGTGGTGATCTCGGTAACGAAGTCACAGATGATGTTCTTTACAAAGCTTTTAGCAAGTACCAATCTATTCAAAAGGCCAAAGTTATCCGGGATAAAAGGACAGGTAAAAGTAAAGGATATGGCTTTGTTAGTTTCAAAGATGCCGATGAATTTGTGAAAGCATGGAAAGAAATGAATGGTAATTTGTGATTCATTTTAAGTGAAAGCTAATAATATCGGAAAGTTTTAGTAATAAATTTTCTCCTTTATCTAGGCAAATACGTCGGAAATAGACCAATAAAATTACGAAAGAGCACATGGAAAGAAAGGAATATCGATGTTAAAACCAAGAAACATCATCCTTATAAATAAAAATAAATTTCATTGCTCTTAACGCGACTATTAATATTTTTTCGTTAATATGTATTATTCTGTTTATAGATTCTTAAAAGGTAAAAATATCTAATTTATAGAGTGAATATAATGAAAATAAATATAGTTAATGTTACTTATTTGAAAATATTTCGGATGAGTTGATAAATTTTTTGTTTATTATATAATGACTTGTTTAAAACTGTAAAATTCAATCGCATTTTAGATGGAGATGTGAGAGAGAGAACTATTAACCGAATTAATTTTTAACTTACATTCAATCTTTCTCACCGGATCGAATTACTTCTTCAATGAAGCCGTTCACGTTAAAATTTTCAAGGTGATAAGGAAGGGTTAATTCTATCTTGGCGTCATGTAAACGTTTTGTAAAATATTTTAAGTTTTCAATCCGCTTTTCTGCTTCTTGAATTTTTTTGGGAGGAATTTTTGCGCGAATTTCTGCAATATCTATAGGTTTGTATTTAGAAGGCAACGCGTATACTTGAATTTCTTTAGCAATTTCGAGCAGTCTTTCGAGTTGATAACATCCCCGACAAGCTGCTGCCCGAATATCTGAAGGTCCTGGAGAATTATAGCGTGCAGTAGCTGCTTTCTGGTCAATTTCTGCCGGATTTAATTCGGCTCGTATGAAATTTGGATCTGAAGTATCAATTCGAGCCTTCCCATAATTCTTGTACGGAATTTGTTTGGACATTTTGTTCTGGTAAACGTATTTTTTTTGAAACTTTTGATGACAACGCGCACCCACAAAAAAATTCACACACGTGATCTCATATATTTGTGTTCCTAGTGTTAAATTCGGCCAAAATCACGTGGGTGTGTGATACTGGGATCATATCTCACGTGCATTTACCTTTAATTTAATTTAATTTTTAATTTAATACAAAATAATTTGCCAATTTGCTATTCATCTGTTGATAGATTCTTTGTTCCTTGAAATCCAACTGATGGTTTTACAACAATTTTTACGGGAACTTTACGTTGAATTTCGCTGAAATGGAATAAACATTTAAAATCTCCGGTCCGATGAATTTCACCAGAATTATTTTCATGAAATTCAATATCATCTAAATGAAAGGTCATGTTATAACCTTTTTTAACGCGATTTAAAATATCTTCAAGTTTTACGGGATTTTTAAGTTTAGTAGGAATGTTAAGATCACCATCTAAATCACGATCAAAATCTAAAGAAGGAATATGATTAAGGATGGCAATTTTCTTTTGTATTTCTTCAAAATATTGTAACACTCTTGGTGCATTCTTTTTCTTATCCTTATATGAAACGCGTTCAAAAAAAAAATAAGGTTAGTTGATTAGATTCATTAAATTATATTTTGATGTGAAATTAACGTACAGCATATGATCTTCCAAGTATCGCCAATGTGATCTGTCCCCCCTTGGCTATTTGATGTATTTGTGAAGGACCCTTTGATTGAAGTGAATTGTACTTTCCCGCTGTTGGTATATAATAATTTGCTTTACGACTAGGATACAAATCGTTTCTCATATATCCTTTAGAAAAATTAACAATGAAATTGATTTAATGACCAGTTTCATATTTTTAATTTTTAAATATTTGTTTTTAAACTTTTTTTTACCAGGTTTGACTTTTACAATTTCACCTACATGACAAAATTAAAATTGTTATTAATGTTCAATTACGTTAAATAATCAATTATACATTATTCATTATTTAATAACCTTTCTCGCCAAGATTTATAACGGGGGTTAATAGTTCTATTGTTACTTTTCTATATTTAGCTGTTCTAATAAAAATTCTTGATTCCAATAAATTGACAAATAAATTTGATGATTTGTTGGAGATGATTTGAATGCTTTTAGATGTGGTTATTGTACGATTCGATAATAACGTTGACATTTTTTAACAAATTTTCCCAATGTATGTATAAGATTTAAAAAAAATGTTTTGCTCGGACTTTATCGGATCTACACTCGGAAACAAACGGAAATTTAAAATAATTCTACCCGATATTTTTGATTCTTTAATTCAGGCCAAGATTGTATTTAATTATTCGCGAGGGAGTTTATGTACAATTCATTTTTTTTTTTAGATTTAGATGAATAAGATGAATATGTAAGATGAATAAAAAAATCTAATAATTTTCTAAATTTGGTAACTTCAAGATATTAATGCATAACTTTATCCGCCACTTTTTTTTTTTATTGGAATTTGAATACGAGATTTTATAATTTGTAACACGAAAATATGATGTATATTACAAATTTAAAAAAAACCTGTTTATGATTTTGATGGAATGGCGCGAAAAAACGAACCATGAATTTGGGATTAAATAGATTAAAAAGACATGTGGACTGTTAAAATAAAGAATTTTTTTTTTTATGTTAATTTAAAAAATAATTGATGAATAATTCCGGTCATCCCCGATTTCTTTTTGCCGGAAAATTGATAAATAGCTTTAATTTAGATAATTTAGATCAAAAAAATTTTTTTTTACAGATATTAATTTTTTCTTATTTGAAAAAAAAAAAAAAAACTTATCATGTCGTTCTCACGTCCAGTTTCTCGCGTTTCCTTTGGCTTATCAAAGGTTTATATTTACTCATAAGTTACAGAATGAAATATATATATTAATGATATATACCTTTTTTGATAAATTTGTAAATTTTTTTTTGTGGTTTTAGAAATTATCTAAACCTTTATCAACGGCACTACCTTTCGCAAGGCAAATTTATCCTGTTACTATCACTGGTGCTATTCGAAGTTTGCACGCTTCAAAATCTAAAGTATGTTCGCTTATAAGAATTATTTAAAGTCCAAGACTTGATCAAATAAATAAATTTATCAAGATATATATGGTTGATCTAATAAATCAATTTAAATAAAAAAAAAATTCTAAATTTAGTTATTTTGAATATTTTATTATTCTTTTCCTTTTTTATTTTTAGTTTTTGACTAATTCTTTTCATTGTCACAATAAAGTCACTTAAAGAACGACTTGAAGAATTAATTCCATTGAAACAAGAGGAAGTAAAGCAAGTTAAAAAAGAACATGGAGCCAAAAGTTTAGGAAACATAACGGTTGATATGGTTTATGGAGGCATGAGAGGTATCAAAGGTTTGATTTGGGAAGGTTCGGTGCTAGATCCCGAAGAAGGTATTGAATTTAGAGGTCTCACTATACCCGATTGTAGAAAAAGGCTTCCAGCAGCAGACGATGGAGAAGAACCATTACCTGAAGGATTATTTTGGTTGTTAGTAACTGGGGAAATTCCAACAAAAGAACAAGTTAAAGCTTTATCTGCTGAATGGGCAGCTCGATCTTCAATTCCTTCATTTGTTGAAGATTTAATTGATAGATGCCCAAATACTTTACATCCAATGTCACAATTTTCTTTAGCTGTTACCGCTCTACAACATGATTCTACTTTTGCTAAAGCTTATCAATCTGGTGTTAATAAGAGTGAATATTGGCAATATGTTTATGAAGATGCTATGGATTTAATCTCAAAATTGCCGTCTATTGCTGGTAGAATTTATAGAAATGTTTATAAAGATGGCAAGGTTCCTTCTATTGAAATGGATAAAGATTTTTCTTATAATTTGGCTAAATCTCTTGGATACTCGGAAGATAAGGATTTTGTGGAATTATTAAGACTTTATCTTACGATTCATTCTGATCATGAAGGTGGAAATGTATCAGCTCACACTATGGTAAATAGATTTAATTTATATTCGCTTATGCTAATTTCTACTCAATAACTTGTTAAATTTTCTATTTAATCTTAATACAGAGACTCGTCGGGAGTGCACTTTCTGATCCTTACATTTCATTTTCGGCTTCACTCAATGGATTAGCAGGTCCATTACATGGGTAAATTTCACAACTGCCATTTAAAAGAATTTCTATAATTATTTAGTTAAAATTAACCCTTATATATATATATATATTTTTTAAAAAAAAAAAGTCTTGCAAATCAAGAAGTCATTCGTTGGATTCTAAGGATGAGAGATGAAGTCGGAGATGCACCATCTGATGAAATTGTTAAAAAGTATGTTTGGGATACTTTAAAATCCGGTACAGTCATACCGGGATATGGTCACGCAGTTCTTCGCAGAACGGTAAGTTAAAATATTTATAATTAAATTTACTTTTGCAATATATATTTATATTTTATATTTGGTAATCGTAGGATCCACGTTATGAAGCACAACGTGAATTTGCATTAAAACGTCTTCCGAACGATCCTCTCTTTAAATTAGTTTCACAACTTTATAATATTGTACCAGGAGTATTACTCGAACATGGTAAAACTAAGAATCCTTGGCCAAATGTTGATGCTCATTCCGGTGTATTATTGCAACATTTTGGATTAGTAGAACAAAATTATTATACGGTATTATTTGGTGTTTCAAGAGCTTTAGGTGTTTTATCTCAAATAATCTGGGATCGTGCCTTGTAAGTATTCTCTTTTCAACAAAACATTTTTGTCGTATTATATTTTTAATTAACAAGTTTTTTTTTTATTTATTTAATAGGGGATTCCCAATTGAACGACCAAAATCTTACTCGACCGAGATGATCAAAAAGATGTTTCATGAACAAAAGTGAATAAAACTCGAACAAAAAAAATAATATATATATTCATATAACCTATTAAATAATCCTAACCTAAGAAAAAAATTGTAAAGAACAATGTTAATAATTTTTTTACAAAAATTTACGGTTTTATATTTTTCTTTGAATAAATTAGTTAAATCTATATAGAATCAATCTATTTACTTAGTTTCTCTCTTAATTTTTTCCTACTCAATATATTGATTTATTTATATTTATTTGTATTTGTATAATAAAAATATTAGAATCAAATGGATAATAAATTATTATTTACTTAATTAGGTATTAAACCGATCGATAACTAATTGTTAATTGAAACCCGATTGGTTACTATTGAACATATGGGGCCTTTGCAATAAAAAGGGGGGAAACTGCCGGGAAAAATCAATTTTACTTTTATATACCAAATATGATTTTCAGGCCGAAATATGTTTCAAATTTAGCATTAACTCATTTTTTATTTTTCCGGTAGTTTCCCCCTTCTGTTGCAAAGGCCCCATATAATTTACAATTTTTTAAAATAAGTATAAAATCGGGTTGGAATCCGATTTATGTAATTTTACCTAATAATATCAATTAGGTACAGTGAATAAAAAAAGTAATTGAAAAATAATGTAAACAATAAATTTAAATTTTCTTCTGCAATATACAGTAAATCACAAAGATATTTTATATGATGATGTCATGTGTATGATTGTCATGTTTATTTTGATATACTGTATATTATGATTTACAAAATTCATTCCTGAGCAACCATGACAATGTTATACTTGAGCAATATCAAATAGCAATAATCTCTTTATGGAAAAATGGCATTTGTGATATCAAGATTTTGCATAAAATACTTCTATTCCACTATCTACAATATATAACTATTTAAAAAAACTCAAAATAGGTTATTCTTTAGATCTTTTACCTTGGTTTATTGATCAAAAAAACTTCCTTCAAAGAAATGTCATCACTTTGGTCAACTTATTTCATAAAATAAATATTCAACATGTTCTGAACTTAAGAATACTTTGAACCAACTTCATCCCAACCTTAATGTCAGTTTAATAACTGTTCTTATGAGCTTCACAACCTTAAATATCGTTATATAATTTTCAAAACTATACCATTATTTACTACTATTCACAAGCAATATCATGTAGAATAAACAATGAAACATTAAGATCAAAATTGAAAATAAGTTATTTTTTCTTATAAAACTACTCTTCAAATATTCCAAATACTCCCCTATAAGAAATCGAAATAAGGAAATGATACGTTTTTTATAAGGTTTGTATACGTAATTAATGATTCTATATCAAA